AAAATGCTTGCTTTAAATCTCTTACAAGTAAAAAACAAGAATGTATTACAAAGTATATTTTCGTTTGGCATTTAAATTTTTTAATACTCCTTAATAATTATACGAGTAATTAACAACATACAAAGTATAATAATATCATCAACATAATCCGTACATTATAAGCTCAGCAGTCAGAGTCTCGGAGATAAAGAAATTATAATCAAGAACTACAAACAAAAGTCTGGAAACATAAGTGATGGATATTATAGTTATGATAATATTTGTCGCAGATTAGGATAATAATTGTATATATTTTGTGTCCTTATCGTACTAGGTTTACGATATTTGTAAAACTCTATATATATTGATCAATGGTACACACTCCAGATGGAGGAGTTTTCTAGAAATCTAATATGGTATCCCAACACAGGTTTCAATCCTAGGATAATTCAATCAATTCTTTTCACCATTTTTTCTGCTTCCGCTTTCTTTTTTTGTTATAGCTTCCATGGCCAAAGAAGGTGATGCTACCCCTCCACCGCACCCTCCTCCCCCGTCCAGTTAGTTCCATCCGGCCCTCACGGTTACAAATATCCAAAACGTAATTCTCTTCACTTTAGATTATGAGAATGTCTAATACTCAAATTGGGTCAAATTATTCGAGAATCATGTTTGTGCGTATAATGTTCTTGATCACATCAACCGAGATACCCCACGTCCAACTGAAGTTTCCGATGCTTTATGGAAGAGACTAAACGCAATCGTGAAACAATGGATCTATGGTACAATCTCGGTTGATCTTCTTCAAACTATCCTTTCACGGAAATATACTGCTCAAGAGACTTGGAATCGTCTCAAAGACATCTTTCAAGATAACAAGAGTACAAGGGCGGTGTATCTCGAGAATCAATTTAATTCTCTTCATCTTGATGATTTCCCAAACGTCACAGCTTACTGTTGATCAGCCAGTTTCAGATCAGCCTAAAAAGCGTCTCCGATCAACTCGCCAATGTTGATCAGCCAGTTTCAGATCAAAAATTGGTACTCCGTCTTATTGCAGGCCTCACTAAGATCGATTTTTGACACGGTCGCAACTATGATTGCTCAATTGGATCCCTTTTCGTCTTTTAACAATGCTCGGTTTTGGCTCCTACTTGAAGATACTCGCCGAAATACGGACTCTGCTCCAGCTCCGGCTTCGTTTGTAGCCCAATAACAATCATCGCTCAACTCCGACTCCACGCAACAGCAACAACCTGCCGCAGGTGCCGGCAGAGGCGTTGGTGGCGGTGGACGAAACCGCGATGGCGGAAAGGGGCGAGGCAAGGGTCATGGACATGGTGCTCCTAGCCGTGGCAGCCCTCAAGGTTAGCAACAAAATATGCAACAACAACAATGGCAACAGCAACAAGTGACTCCTAATGGCCAAAATTGGGCCCAGCAGCAACCTTGGCCCAGTTCACAACAGTACTATTGGCCTCAACAAGGCTGGGCCGTACCTCCTGCCCCTTTTCCAACTAACGGGCCCTATCACAACCGGCCCTCTACAGGCCCAGGTCGTGGATCATATCCTCAACAGGCTTATACCATCGGCCAACCTCAATACGGTACACCTATATGACTCCTGCGGAGCTCAGAGTGCCTACTCATCAATGTCCCTTTCAAATCCGGAAAACGAGTGGTACATGGACTCTAGAGCAACATCTCATATGACTCATAATTTTGGTAATCTCTTGCCCCTTTTTAATTTAAGCACAAATAATCATATTTTAGTGGAAATGGTCATCGTATTCTAATTACTGGTTATGGTCACACCACCCTCCCTCATAAATCCCTTACCTTAAAAGATGTCCTCCTTGCCCCACATATCATTAAAAATCTCATATCAGTTCATAAATTTACCTTTGATAATTCGGTTTCTATTGAATTTGACCCTAATGGTTTTTCTGTGAAGGATCTTCGCACGAGGAGGGTAATAACGAGATGTAATAGTTCCGGAGACCTTTATCCAGTCACCGACAACTCACCAAGCACTTGTCTAGCCACATCTCTCACCATACGCTTCTTCCACTTGGCATGACCACTTAAGACACCCTGGGGCTTCCTCTTTACAGTTTCTTAGGAGCAATAGTTTAATTGATTGTAATATGACTCCAAATTTTGCAATTCTTGTCAAATAGGGAAACATGTTAGATTTCCTTTTTATGATTCCAATAATAACTCTTATTGTGCTTTGATATTATTCATGCTGATTTGTAGACCTCTCCTATTCGTAGTATTAATGGGCACAAATATTATTTGGTTGTACTTGATGATCTTACCCATTATGTGTGGACTATTCCTTTAGCCTCAAAATCCCAAGCCTTCCAAAGCTTTCTTATTTATAAACAATATGTCAAAACTCAATTTGAACACCCAATTAAATCCTTCCAAAGTGATCATAGTCGTGAGTTTGACAACGATCCGTTTTAAAAAAAAAAATTAATGCTAATGGCTAGGTGTTTAGATTCTCTTGTCCTCACAACTCTTCCCAGAATGGGAAAGCCGAGCGCATGATCCACACTATCAACAATGTCAAACGCACTCTTCTCTTCCATGCCTCTTTGCCTCCGTCCTTTTGGTCGCATGCTCTTAAGATCACCACATATCTTCTTAACATCTTACTCACTAAGACTCTTAAGAACTCAACCCCGGCTCAAGCTCTTTTTCGTTAAAACCCATCTTATGATCTTCTTCGGGTTTTTGGTTGTCTATGTTTCCCAAATTTGTCGGCTAATGGGCGTTACAAACTTGCTCCACGCTCTACACCTTGTGTCTTTTTGGGTTACCCTTCCAATCATCGTGGGTATAAGTGTCTAGATCTCACTACTAAAAAGGTCATTATTTCCCGTCATGTAACCTTTGATGAACTCACTTTTCCATATAGGAACATTGAAAAACATCCTCTAAAGGACTACAATTTTTTGGGCATTGAGGACCAATCCCCCATCCTTACACACTTATTTTTGCGCCAAGGAGCCCCATAAAAGGAATGGTGTCCTTCGAATAAGTGTATTATTCCGATAGAGGGTTCGGAATTATTAGAAAGCTAATTATTCAGTGAAGTTAAGTGATCGGAATGCCTAGCTGGAGGCCACTTCCGATAAGTAATATCAATGCATAATTAATATTACAGCTTAATCTTGACTGAATCCTTCGGGTCACACCCAATTGAGTAACCGAACCAAAACGAAAAATTAATCCGAAGGATTAAATGAGTCATTAGAGTATTACGAACAAAGACGTCAAATATCGAGCTTAGAGCGTCGAAACCAAGCGTCGAAAGTCAATTCGAATTTATGAATCGACGAGACGAGAAATCTAGAAAACAACAAGTTACAAATATACCCCTAGCCTCGGAATTCCCCGAGCAATCCGAGGGCCAAGGGCACTATAGCTAGCCAAGGCAAACGCACCATGCCGAGCTTGCTAGCAGCGCATGCGTGCTAGCATCGCAAGCCTAGCATCGCTGGCTAGCTGGCTGGTGCGGCATGGCCAGCATCGCTGGCGCGGTAGGCGTGCTAGCATGGTAGTGCTTCGCACTCAACAGCCCGCAAGCATCGCAGCAGCTAGGCGCTGCCTAGCATAAGAAACGCAACAGCAGCAGCAGCTTGCATAGCGTGGGTGGCCTGCTGGTTGTGCATGGGAAATACACGGGTTGGTGCAAAGGCCAATGTGTGCGACGTAGCGTAGTGCTTGGCTGCACCTAGCACAAGGATCGCAGTAGCAGCAGCGGCACGCTGTGCGTGCGTGGGCTGCGGGAAATGCGTGCGTGGGCTGCGAGCTGTGCGTGTTGCGTGCTGGGCTGCATACACGCATAGAGCCCAGCTAGCAGGCCTAGCCAAGGGGCCAGGCCGTCAGCTAGGCAGCCTTGGCGCCCAAAGCTGGAAACACCAGCTGGCGCGCGTGCATTGGCTTGTGCATGTGGGAGCCGGTTTGTGTGTGGGTTGCTTGGGGAGCAAGGGGAGGGTGGTCCCCCCTTGTGGTCCTCACTTAACCCCTTGCTCGTCACTTGAGAATTGTTGTTTGTTGATTTATTTGCTTTATAATTTGATTTTTGAATTAAATTAAATTGAATAAGTGCATTTTACCAACTCTCCCACATTGATGGGAGATTGGAATTTAAGGGCTCCCTTTCCTATAAATACCAATCATTTGGCATTGGGAAGAGACACTTGAGATGTGAACTTGAAAGGATCTTCACAAGCGAGAACACTTTCGTTCTAGTATTCTAAGTTCTTTTGGTCTAGCCCCGACTAAATTTCGGGGTAGGGGCCGTTCGGGTCGGGTCTCGAGGGTTAGAGCTGTTGGAGGCTTGCGCATTTGCGAAGCTCTACGCTCTCAAGTTCAAGCTCTAAAAGGAGCGAAGCACGCATCAAGGGTATAATTGTCTTTCTAATTGTTAATTAATTATGTGATTGTTAATTAATATGCATGTTTAGTTATTTAATTTGTGTGTGGATTTTGGGAGGGTTTCATTCCGCGTAGTCTTGGACACTATGAAACCAAACACCCCAACCCAGTCCGTACCGCAGGAAGGCGGCGGCCCAGGGCTCTCTCCCGTAGCCCATCCGCGGAGCCCACTGCCTACCCCCAACATCTCTCCTTCTGGCAACCCACACACCTCACACATCTCCCCTGCGAGCCCAACAAATCAGCCATCTTCACCTGGCAGCCCACCAGCCCACCTTATATCACATGGCAGCCCACCTGTCACCCTTCAAACTAGCCCAACTCACCCAACAGGCCTGCCACACCTTAATCCCACATATACTCCACCCCCTTTAAGGGGCATACCACCTTTGCAGCCTACTCGGCCTCCCCCTCCGTCCCCTCCCATCACCCGTAGTCAACGGGGTATATTTAAGCCTAACTCGAAATATTGCAACCTCATTGTTCAACCTTCGGGTCCACCTCTTCACAAATCACCTCTTCCAAAGTCTTATAAACAAGCTTTAATTGACCATGATTGGAATGCGGCGATGCATGATGAGTATAGTGCTTTAATTAAAATAGGGACTTGGGAATTGGTACCTAGTCCTACGGGGGTGAATATTGTTAATTGTATGTGGCTTTTCAAACATAAATTCAAGTCTAATGGTGACCTTGAAAGGTACAAAGCTCGTCTTGTTTGTGATGGCAGATCGCAGGAAGTTGGTGTGGATTGTGATGAGACCTTCAGTCCGGTAGTTAAACTGACCATTATTCGTACAATTCTCAGTTTAGCTATGGCTAAAAAGTGGTCTTCATCAATTAAATGTCAAAAATGCCTTTTTACATGGTGATTTACAGGAAACCGTGTATATGCATCAACCCCCAGGGTTTGTTGATCAGCGTGTACCCTCTTATGTTTGCCGGCTCTGAAAGGCTCTCTATGGCTTGAAACAAGCTCCTAGAGCTTGGTACCAGCGGTTTGCGAACTTTTTGATTAAATTGGGTTTTGTCATTACCAAAAGTGACAATTCTCTTTTTAATTTTCGACAAGGTGATGATATGGAATATTTGCTTCTCTATGTTGATGATATTATATTAGCTACCTCATCTGACAGGTTGCGAGCAGGGATCATATCTCGGTTACAAACCGAGTTCCCTATGACTGATTTTGGGCCTCTGAGTTTCTTTTTAGGGATTGCGATGACCCGTACACCCTCTTATTTGCTACTTTCGCAGGAAAAGTATGCACAAGAGATTTAGAGTGTGCAGGTATGGGCTCTTGTAAGGCTGCAGCTACTCCGGTTGACATTAAGTCCAAACTTAGTGCAGATGCAGGACCACCATTCCGGGATCCTACTTTATATCGCAGTTTAGTAGGTGCTCTTTAGTATCTCACCTTCATTAGGCCAGATATTGCCTATGCGGTACAACAAGAGTGTCTTTTTATGCATAATCCCCGGGAATCTCATTATGATGCATTGAAACACATTCCGCGTTATGTTCAAGGTACCATTGATCATGGCTTACATTTATATTTTTCTGTTTTTCATCGTTTGATTACTTACACTGACGCTGACTGGGGAGGTTGTCCCGATACCCGTCGTTCCACATCGGGTTATTGCTGCTTTCTTGGGAACAACCTCGTTTCTTGGTCATCTAAGCGTCAGCATACATTATCTAAATCGAGTGCAGCAGCAAAATATCGAGGCGTCGCTAATGTTGTCTTTGAGGCATGTTGGCTCCTTAATTTTTTACTTGAGTTACATTGCCCCCTTCGACATGCTAATATTATTTATTGTGGTAATATCAGTGTTATCTATCTTTCTGGCAACCCGGTACAACACCAACGCACCAAACATGTGGAGATGGATATCCATTTTGTTCGAACAATGGGAGAAGTTCGGGTTTTACATGTTCCTTCTAGATATCAGTTTGCGCACATTTTCACAAAAGGCTTACCACGGGATTTATTTTTGGATTTTAGATCCAGTCTTAGCGTACTATCTCCTCCAGCTATGACTGTGAGGGTGTGATAGATATTATAATTATGATAATATTTGTCGCAGATTAGGATAATAATTGTATATATTTTATATCCTTTTCATACTAGGTTTACGATATTTGTAAAACTCTATATATATTGATCAATGATACATATTCCAAATGGAGGAGTTTCCCCGAAATCTAACAATAAGAATATATAAACGTCTCCTCCACAATCAATTCCAATTCCTCACCACCACAAAACCAAATTAAAAATAAAAATAAAAATGTGGGTCAACAAATGTAAAACAGAATAATAATCTTTAACCAAAGTACCCTCCAAATATGCTACTACTACTATGCAAAATTATTCTCTTCTTTAAACCCCTTAAAAACTTGATAAAAATGCTCCTAATGCTGCTAAACCAACAACACTCAATTTTGCTGAGATGCCTGTAGCAGAGGATGCACCATTTAGGCTGCTTGGTGACATTGCAGGTGATACTATGTTGCCTCCTGGACCCATTGCTGCTGCCGGAGCGATTGAAGCGCCCGATGGAGCACCCGCCGGAGTAACCACACCAGCTTCAAGTATAACAATGAAAACAATTACAAGTTAATAACAAAGGATCATATAATTATAACAGTGATAATGATTATAAGTCAATAGCAGAGAACCATTGATATGAATCAATTAATTAGGGAAATACAATTAGAGTCATTTATAGCGGTTGAATTAGAGAAACACTGGTTGCTCACTAAATTATGCAATAATAATGGAAAAATTATAAACTATTTGAGAACTAATAAATGGGTAGTTAAAAGATGAAAACAAAATTAATTTATTATTCTAAAACCTAGAAACAAGGGAAAATATTCCTTAACAAATTAAAAAATTAGAAATCCCACAAACATTCTAAAGATTCAAACAAAAATACTACGTAGTACTTCAAATTCTTTATTTGAAATCTTCGAGAACACAAAATAAATTATTTATCCACCAAATAACCCATTTCTAAATTGATGCCCCTAAAACCAGGTCTAAAATACCACTTTTTTAATATCACGAAAAAAACCCCACTTTTATAAAGCAAAAAAACAACATGCTGAAATTTCAAGCTAAAATGAACCCTTTTTTCTATTTTTTTTTTATCATAAAAAATTTAAGTATTTTTATACTCCTAAAAAAAAACACAAAAATCAAAAATTCCAAAAATTACTCATTTCCAAAAATAAAAATACATAAATCAAGAGAAAGAAGCGACGGAAAGCAATACAACAGAAGCGTCGGAAGTAGATAAATACCTGGAGAAGGAGCGCCAGTTGGAGATATATCCACTACAAAAACAAAATCAGATTACAATTGTTTTTTTTTTTTTCAGTTTTCTGTATTTATTAAAATAAAAAATAAAAAATCACTTTTCTGTTGTCAGTTTTCAAAATTATTATGATTTTAATAAGTTTCACAAATTTTTGATTTATTATATAACATATATGATATGATTTTGTAAAACAAAAAACAAAAAATCAGAAAACCACAAACGATACCAAACAAATCCTATATTCACTATATTTATTTCCAAAAAAAAAAAAAAAAACTTACAGCCACATTTGGCAGCAGAAGGAGCATGAACATGGCAAGCATCAGGAAGACCAACAGCTTTAGTAACATTCAAAACGACACCGAATTGAGCACTACTCTTAAACCCTTCACAAAGACATTCTGCATTTGTTTTAAGTACTGATTTCAACCCTGAACAACAGTTCCCCTCAGGTTTATTCACTGTACTTCCATTCGTTACGTAGGAAAGACAATCCGACATGCTCAGCACTACGCTCGTGCAGTCCACCGGTGCGGGCGAAGAGCCCTTTGATTCCACTGTCACCCCCGCCATTGCGACTGCAATTGACATTACGATCACGTACTTCATAACAGTTGCTGCCATTGGAAAAGATGATAATAAGATTTCACAATGTAGAGGAATGAAAAGAGAGAGTTTCACAGCTTTGGTTGTTGGGGTTGAGTGAGACTGTGAGAGTAGAAATAGGGAGGGGTGGGAAAAGGAGGGACACGTGGCGGCCATCGAGTGAGTATTGGGATCAGGGAATGTTATGATGAGAAGCATTTGGGGTTTTGGAAAAATGTGAAAAGGGAATTTTTGAGGGGGGTGATAGAGTGGGGTGGCTGTGTGGGAAGGTTTGGTAAGGTCGAATAGGAGGATGACACGTGTGAAGGAATGGGGGTGAGTAAATGAGGATGGACTAGGATGTTGAATTGGGGAAAAAGGGTAATTTTTGGGTTTTAGTTTTACTGTTTTTACTGACAAGTGAGTTTGTTTACCAAATGAAGGGTAATTAAATATGATTGACTGTGACTTGTATTTGAGCAGGGTAAATAAGGTAGAAGATGATGGGAGATTATGATTTCATATTTGAAATTGGGAAAGGTTGTTATTCTCTTTCTATGATGTTCAATAATGTTGGTTTATTCATAGGTGTTTTAAGAATGTAAGGAAATTGACTTGATGCAAACACATTTTGGGCTTGATGTGTATTTGTATGTGCAACAACTGGATGCTATTTTTTTCATTATATGCATGAATGCGAAACAAATTTTATGATATCTTATTTGAATATATCATAAGGATTATTTAAATTAATTTTAGTACGGAATAATGAAGTAAACTTTACAAACATTTAAATAAAATCGGATGTACAATAAATATAGTATACAGTTGTAAAGTTGACTTAAAATGATCAAAAGTTACTTCGATATAGGTGAAAGTTGCCCCTGATACAAATAAATTGCAATCTATGTTTTATTGATTAATTTACGATTGATTAATCGTGCGTAAGTTACCTCAAAAGTGTTCAATGTACACTAGTATTATTGTAACCTAGATGTCTACAATTTTTTTTGTTTTTATTAAACTTAGATACCTTTTATTAAAACACTTTATCATAACTTATCAAATTTGATTATTCTTAAAATAATCGTATTTTAATTTATTTAAACTTATTTTTCCTAAAACAAGTGAAGTTCAAATAAGATAAACAAAAAGAGTCCTTAAATAAGTTCAATAAGGTTCTATAAAATCTAGTCTAGTAAGTTTCAATTACGTTTAACAGATTCCAATAAGGTTCAATTAAGTTTAATTAGTTTCAATCAGGTCTAATAAGTCCATCATAAAATTTCTAATAAGTGTTAATTACTTCAACCAAGTCCAAAAAATTTAAAAAGCACAATTCATTGAAGTTCAATCGAATAGAACACACTCCATTAAAAATATGACTATCATCAATAACTCCTAATCAATCTTAGTTAGGAGCAAAATACTTTTAAAAAAATGAGGACAAATTCAAACTCAAATATTTGGTAAAAAATAACTTGAGAAGCCATGAAAAATACAAAGAACTTGAAAACCATATAGAGCTTACAGTAATTTTAGTTCAATTTAGTCCAGCTTAGCCTAATTCAGCTCAAAAGAAAAGGTTTGAGTACCATATAAAGTTGCACAATTAGATAGCTTAATTCAATTTTCTTTCTGGTTTTGAACATGGTGTTCCTATCTAATATTAGAATAACCCAAAAAATATGACCTAAATGAAACGAAGTGAGTACTTTCTCTGCAAAATAATAGTTAGATGATTTGGAAATTATATAAGTTTTATTTATTATGGTATATGGTAAGCTTTTTTAATATAATATTACGAGTATTAATTGTTATCTTATGCATTAACTCGGGGCACACATTAGTTATTTTGTTGTAACTTGTATCAGTATAACAGATTCTTTTTCTACATAATCAATATTGTAATTCGTCAAATTTTCCCACTTAATACTATGAGTCAACAACCCCCCACCCCACCTCCTCCATACACCAACTCCTGTCCACTAACTTATGCAATGTCACCTTACTAGTATTTATGGAAACCAAACAATATAATGACAAGTGACAATGTAATAAATGTATAAAATTATTGTACACAACAAATAATTTTAGAGTAATTTTAATTGGTGTGAGGCAATCTTTAAGCTGCTATAATTTTTATAACAGAGTACATGTTAAGAGGTGTTTTTTATGGGGCAAGTTTTATAAAACATAATATGGTCATCTCACTCATCTGTATACATTAAGAGTGATACATTTCTTAAATAAACAACTTTATTAATTTAAAATAAGTAACTATTTTATATTGATGAAACATTTGATCATTTAAAAGTAACTCCACTTGTTATATCAATATTTATTGTACATTTGCCTAAACCGTTGGAGGTCTTTAGGATTTAAAATTACAAAAAGTTTTGATCATAATTATGCTAAAGTCATAATCATAATGAAACTTATTTTTCGTTTGTCCACCCAAAAGAATATACATGGGGACACAAACATAATAAAGTGTGAAATAAAAACACTCCTAATATAAAGAAAATACACTTTGATGCTACCAAATAATGATGGCCACTCTATACAATTGAAGTTGCTTTTATTAATTTATTTATAATTAATAATGTGATCACAAGATATGTTTAACTCCGTCATTTATGGACCAGCTGAGCATGCGGCTGCTCGAATTATTTCATAAGTGGGTGGGCCCAATAAAGCTATTGTATGGCCTTTTCTTGTTGTCACTTTGGAATAAATTCGATTTCTTTTGTTTCAAAATGGAATAAATTCAAATTACTTTTGTTGAAATTGGAAAACTAGTTTTATTAACGTTAGTGGCCTTGTTTTGTGTAAAAAGCATATAAATTTGGTTGTAGAGCTTTAAATTGTTCCAAGTGTGGTTGTAGAGCTTCAAATTGTTCCAAGTGTTGTATTATCTGGTGAAATCATTGCCATGTGGTAGTCAATCTGACATAAATGTAGTAATCGAGGTCTTAAAAGCACATCCGATCCGAAATCGATCCGATTTAAATTTGGACTCGCGTGAACATAATAATTTAGCATGACTCAACTTCTAAATTTGACCCGATTCCATCCGACCCGACCTCATTAGACCCGATCGATCATCCGAATTGAGACTTCTAGCCACATGTAATAATCTATGAGCTTATGTTTAGTTATAAGGGAAATTGTTCCATGTACCCCCACTGCTTTAAAAAATACACCGTGTACCCTTCAAAACTTTCAAATGCACCATGTATCCTTGAGATATGTAAGAAAAATACACCAAATACCCTAATCCTCTAACAAATGCACATATAATTGACTTATCAAAATAAAATCATGCTCACACTGGGCTTGACTAAAAGGGGTTTCCTGGTTCTGATCCTCTTTGTACTTGTCTCAAGCTATAAAAAAGGCAAAAGGGGGAACAAAGGTCTTCTGAATTTTTTTTGAGCGAAAAAACGGTGATTCCTAAAAGAGAACCTTCTTGACGAAGGTTTACTCAATACCCGGTTTGAACAGCCTTTTTGTTCTACCCATTCACGGAGTTTTACTCGCGGGCCAGGCTAAGCAAGCGGGATCGGGGCTCATTCTCGAGACTTCGTTTAGCTCTCTCCCTTTTGAAGGATTTATATCTTCGTCAAGTGCAATTATTATATATATCATGGATCATTATTATGGAAATAATTAGTTCATTTTTTTGGGTCGTCATTGTCAGTTGCTAGATATGATAAATGATCTTTGGGCTAGTCAAATAGTCCAAAGCCCAATAGAATGGATCCCATAAGTTCACACATAAGGGTCATGGATTGAACAAAGCATGAAGCCCATTCATGGGCCTCATGAGGTAATGACAAGCCATATAAGAAGTAAGGCTAGAGTAGTTTGGGTGGGATTAGGAGTTTGGGCTTCACATGGACTCTAATTATATATAAGATATATAAATAGAGGCCTTGCCTAAGTTAAGTATACAAGTCACAATTAACCTAAGCATTAAATTTTGAAGCAAGCAACCAATCTTCCCAACCCCTCCCTCTCTCTCTCTCCCCTAGTCCGTACAGTACGAACCACCGACGCATGGTGGTTGCACGGTGGTGGTGGTTCGTGGCTTGTTTGTTTTCTCTCCTCTTCGTAGAAGGTAGATCAAAAGGTTCGTTCTCAACTAAATAGCATTAGTGGAGGTTTAATTCTAACCCGTGGACCAAGTAGAGGAATCACATTTGGGGTTCTTGTTCTCCTAATTGTTCTTGCTCAGTCACTCGTGGAATCACGCTTCAAGGTTTTATGTGCTTTCTTTATGTGTTGTGCATAGATCCTGTTTTAGATGCTTATGAATGTGATTCATGCAATTCCACTTAGAGTATCTATTATCCTACAGTGGTATCAGTTTGACTAATTCATGTATGCATATTGATCATAATTCTTTGATGTCCGCAAATTTTAATTCAATTAAAAGGGAGAATAATTTAATTATGGGTCAATAATTATTTTAAGGGTGTTTTAACATATGGAATTGTTAAATATGATTTAATTGCTCAATTTTTGCCTAAAATTTGGACCGATTTTGACCTATTATGTTCGAAAAATTCAAACCCCCCAACCCTAATTTCGAAATTTTCGAAATCATAAACCCAAAATTTTGATTTGTGTTTTGTGTCTTGAATAATTTCGATTGTTTATAGTTTCATGAATTTAATTTAATTGATTTCATGTATAAATTATGAATTTTGCATGATCAATGATTTAATTTAAGTGTTAAATTTGATTGGGAATTATTTTCATGAAGAACCCTAAGTTAAAAATTAAATGTGATTTAATTTTAATACTTGGACTAATTTAATTTAATTTAGCAAGTGTTGTTTTAATAAATTTTTTTTTAAAAAAATTGAGGTTGATTTAGGGCGGCAGCCGCGGCTAGGTGGCGCAGTCACGTTGGCTTCCACCGCTACTAGTCCAAGAGGGAGGGGCGGGGAGGGCAAGTGGTCCAAGGTGGCTGGGCAGCAGCCGTGCAAGGGTTGCACGCTGCTGCCATGGTTGTTGGTTTGCGTTGCTGCTTGCGGCAACATACACCGCAAGGTGTACGACCACGGTGGCTGGCTTCGACTGGCCACACCACGGTGGCTGGCGCTATTTTTCAAAAAAAAAAAATTATTTTATTTTAAAATTCAAAATTTAAAATCAAATTTTATTTTGAAAGATAAGTTTTCAAAATT